AATTTTTTGGACTGGGAGTGCGGTATGGAGATATACTACACCGTGGCACCAAAAACTCTGATATATTCGATAGGGTAAATAATTAATCTAATACCAGTTGAATTTGATATTTTTTAAAATATTATTTTATTAATGATATGTAATGTAACATTTCTTGGTTAGTTAAATAATTATATTGAAGATTTTTTTAAAAATAAAATGTTATAAACCGTTTACTATTTTAACCATTGTTCACTACATCCACATACCTGCATATTTAGTGTTTTCCTGTATTCGAGATATTCATTTATAAATGTTGTCTTAAATCAATACATACAGGGTGGACTAATAGTGATTATATTACTCCTATGTCATATAGATAGAAAATACATATTTTATTAGGGCATCGAGCGGTGCCTTAAAGAGGACATTTTAAAAATATTATGAAGTATACGGAGCGTTTTGGAAAGATGTATCAAACATGATTTATAAATAGGATGACCCGTTTTTTATATTTCATATATACAAAATATTTCAGACAAAATAACTAATGTTTTCAAAAATGAATAAAATATATAAATTGCAAATGAAAATGTAAAATTAATAAATAATATTATACACTATAAACGTAAAAGATAAAGATAATTTTCTTAATTTTTTTTCTTGTAATAATAATTAATTGTTGATTACTGTATGTAGACCAAATATCTCAACATCTTAATTCAATTATCATATATCTCTATCACATACTATACTAATCAATCAGTATGATTTATGAATGAATTACGTATGGCAATTTTTAAATACTTACCTCCACCCTAGGAAAAGTCGCTAAGAATATGGCGAATCCTTCGAGCAGATACTACTGGAGGCATGCCATTGCGAAAATTGTGGCTGAGTGTGCGAGAGAGACAAAAAGTACCTCAGTACAAGCGGTCTCACTCTAGCACGCCGCGATTGGTTGGAAATGAATGCTCCAACCAATCGCGGCGTGCTAGAGTGAGACAGCGTGTCTGAGATACTGTCTGTCTCTCAGCCACACTTTTCGCAATGGCATGCTACTTCCAGTAGTATAGTAACCTGTTCATTGTCGTGATTTTAATTTAATACTTTTAATTATTATACATTAATGTCTGATTCATTATTGTAATAAAGAGATTGTTAAATATGTAGTAGTGTTACACGTAAACTAACTTTTTGTTATTAAGAGAAGTTACATTTTTTGGTTAAATACAGGTTTAGTTATTTGAATTCCAGCAGAAATAATTTAGATTATATATCGGTCTGAATTTTATAAATTTTGTTCAAAAACTTACGAAAGCGTATTTATTTTCTAAACATATTTTAAAATGTAAGTCTACTATAATTTTTATTTTAATATTATTAACTATTTATTGGGTATAGTATTACTTATAAATAAATAATCACTAATAAAATACTCAAGAACAAGATAACTAAACTAAACAACTACTCGACATCATAAAATAAGGTTTTTAATATATAAAGCTGGGTAAATTGTTTATTGTTGCTGATATTAACAAAAATAGACATGCATTGCACCGATCAGGAAAAGGCTAGAATAATTGATGCTCTTTGACAGCAGGGAGATTCAGTTCGTAACATGAAATCACCTACGTCTCTTTGTTCCCGACACGGCTTTTCTTATAACGTTAATTGTTAATTTACTGTTTGACGTATACGGACCGGGATTTTAGAGACCATAATTAAACAAAGGGTTAAACTTTTATTTTCAGAAATTTTACATTGATAGTTCATGTAAGTAATAAACGCGCTAGCAGAGTAAAATATAACATTAATGAACAGTCTGCACGTGGCAGCGCTAGGCCCGCGCATGCGCGTGAACATCGTTCTCTTAGCGTGCTTGATTTTTAACTTGAACGTTTCAAATTCGGTTAAAAAATCTTGCGCGCGACGAAGGTGGCGTTCACGTGCGTGCACGGACCAGGCGCTCCTTCTCCCGCGTACTTTAACTTTACTGCTGCTAGCGCGTTTGTTACATGAACTATTAATGTAAAACTTTCTGAAAATAAAAGTTTTATCCTTTCTTTAATTGTCTCTAAAATCCCGATCCGATACGTCCAATAGTTTAACAGTTACATAAAAAAATAAAGCTATCTTGAGAACAAAGAGGCGTAGGTGATTTTTCTTTTTTTTTAAATTACCATAAAAATAAGCTCTATTTAACGCAAAAAGAACGAATTCCAGAGCGACCTTTGCCTAACCCTGGGGTCAATTTGATTATACCGCTGTTTTTCACATCCTACTTTGTTAGTTATAAAAGGCAACTTAATGACAATTTTTTGAAATTTTTCTTTTTCGATACGTTTCTTTTGATCAAATAGAACCTATATCTACGATATTAACTTCTTAAAATTAACGTTTAATTAAACAATTAATTGCAAAAAAAAACGAACGAAGTTAATTAACAAATACCTGGAGCAACAATTTCATTCACGGTCAATCGAATTGGCCCTAGGCACATATGTTGATCTTTGGATTGACCGCCTTTTCCATAAATTTTATCAACATCCATCTATTTTTGCAATAATAATGCTTAATTTTCGAAAACTTATTTTTCCGCGTTCGGCTTTTTTTACAGTTAACAAATTAGTGAAATATGGTTTTAGATACCTTAACTAAATTATAGGTAATTTAATTGCCTAAATGCCGCCAACATAGAATAACTATTTTTCCGATATGTCGTCTAGATTTTCATGGGTAGTAAAAAAAGTGAAAAAACACGTAATTTTGCAACTTATTTACTTATTTGTAATTTGTCAACTTAACGTCACTTCTTTCGAGTTACTTTTTTGATATTATCATACCCTTGTCCTCCATAAAATGCAATAAATAAATACCTACTAATATTTTTTAGTAAATATTCAGGTTTTGTGATATAATTCCACTGGAGGAAAGAGTAATTATTTAAGCCTTTTCCTGATCGGTACAATATATGTCTGTTTTGTGTTAATAACAGCAACAACAAACAATTTAAATTATAAAAAAAAACTCAATCTTGACAGAAACACGCGTAATAGACAAATACGTAGGTATTGCCTAATGGCTAATAAATGGTAATGGTAGTAGCATTTAGACCGCATGCGTGAATTCAGTTGTTCCCGCAGATGCTTCGCCCGATTTTTTTGCTATTGCTCGTAAAAAGCACTGAGTTTATTTGTAAACAGCATAATATGACTTAATAGTTGCGGGGATTAATTTACTGTTTTCAACTGATTTTTTATTCACACCAATACAATGGTAAGTTCAATTTTGTGTAAACAGACTTCATTAATTTATGAGTTCGTTTATTATTATTCTTATTATTCTTTATTATTATTATTAATATTGTTGTTATTTTTAGTGTTACTGCTATTATTATTATTCTAATCGTTTAAATATTTATTGTCATAAAAAATATATAATATATTTTGTTAAAAATAACGTATTTTTATTTACATCAAAGTTTCATTGTTTATTAATAGTTGACATCTAAATTAATTGAAAAGTATTAGCTATTTATGCGCCAAGCACAATTACGTTTATTATTTTTAATATTAGTTTTATAGTTAGAGAGATATATGATGAGTGAATTTAGATTTGGTCTACATAATTGTAATACACAATTATTATTATAAAGTGGTATAATATAAACAAAATTGTTTCTTTTTTAAGAAAATCATCTTTACCTTTTACGTTTATAGTGTATACATTATTAATAAATTTTATATTTTCATTTGCAATTTAGGTATATGTTTGATTCATTCCCGAAAACATTAGTTATTTTGTCTGAAAGATTTTGTATATAAAACACAGAATCAAAATGAAGATTGTTTACTGTTCCATCATTATTTCATTATTATCATGATTAAAATATGAAATATAAAAAATCGGGTCATTGCGCGCGTTTAAAAACCATGTTTGATGCGGCCTTCGGAATCACCCCGTATACTTCATACTATTTTAAAAATGTCCCCCTTAAGGCGCCTAAAAATTATTCTCTATCTGTATGGAATAGGAATAATATTATCACTATTGGCCCGCCCTGTATGAATATTTCTAGTAATGGAAAAAAAACTTTAAATATGCAGGTATTGAATGTTGCGAACAATAATTAAAAAAGTAAATAGTTTTTATATAATATTTTATTTAAAACAAATAATTCAATATTCTTATTTAACTAACTACGAAATGTTAACATATCATTAATAAAATAATATATTTTAAAATATCAAATGCAACTGTTATCGGATTAATTATTATTCACCCTATTGAATACAACAGTTTTTGGTGCCACGGTGTATATTTCCAAACAACACTCCCAGTCCGAAACATACCTAATTATTTGTGGTGGGGCGCAAGAGAATGAGAGCGATCCAACTAGTGGGGACTTTAAGTTGCCCTTCATTGTACATCGGCCGTTACGTGAGAGCGATAAAGTAAGTCATAGAAATCCGTGCGATAGACAAGCATGGTTACATCGAAGACGTTTCATAATCTGAATATTCACTCCCACTTCTAACACGAAACGGGCGGTGACTATTCAGATTATGAAACGTCTTCACTGTAGCCATCCTTGTCTATCGCATGGATTTCTTTACTTTACTTTGTCGTTCTCATGTAAAGGCAGATGGACCATGTGGATTTTCCAGCCCTGTATACATAATAATTTTGTACAAGTTTTTGATTCTAATATGGACATTGGTAGAGGTCAGGCAGACCCTCGCTATGTCTTTTATGTGCATAAAAATGTATGATTTCCAGCGAGGGTTAATAAAGCCACATATTTTCGATGCAAACAATTAATAAAACTTTCTCTAATTAACTATAAAATCTACAAAATTATTTACGAGAACACCTAATTTTGAGACGGCGGCATTTTTCTATGTTTGTATACTTAATTACTTTAATGTGTACCTATTTTATCAGACATAGACTATCAGATACTTATAGTTTAATTGATTTCAAATTGCAAATATTTTTTATAAATACTAATTACTTACTATATTACTGGGCGAGCTAAATGTTACTATGGCAATCCTAGTGTGATTGGAGTCAACTGTGATATCACTGAGAAGTTTTTTCACAAACTTAAACTCACTTTTGAAATTATTTATACCAACACTAGATGAAGCATCTATTAAAAACACTATATCTAATTTCGTATGCAGTTTCAAAATATTTATATTTCTTCTAAAAGTATTCTCCAGAATTTCAAATTTCGATTCATTTGAATATTTCATGTCGTTAAGGTTACTTATATTCATATGTTTGTTACTAAAATTAAGAAATGAATTGTAACTAGTCGAAAGATTTAAATTTTCAGGCGATATTTTTAAAATCAGAAATGCCATTGTGATTACAATAAACGTGCAATACATTTTTATGTGCACTTATAACTTATGCACTATTTTAATTACTCGGTAAAACAAAGTCACAAATATACGACATATTATCTTATGTTAACTGTGACCTATGATCCCTATATCAATACGGTTCTATTAAATATTCAGTGGCGTCGAATTTCTGCGGTTTTCAATGAAAGTAGGTAACTCCGCCACTTGAAAATATATTCCTATACTCGAATTCATTGGATATTTACCTTCAATTTGATAAATCATTAGCGAAGTTTCATTATTTTAAATCAAAGGTCTTCAGAGATTACTTAGGAGAATTTTTTAAATTTCCGTGAATCAAAAAATATCGATTTAAGGACCCATGTTTGGCTTAACCTCACTGAAAGAATCGCCCTTATGAAATATGTGAATATGCATAATAATATTAAGAAAATGATTAAGATGGCTTCACTTATGGGGTGGTTAGCTTCCAGGAACCCTGAACACATTGCTATCGGGAAACGAAGATAACCGTTAAGATTATGCATGCAATCTCGAGTTTATTCAGGGTGCATTGGCTGCTGGTTTGTAGCACGAAGTTCCATACTGTATGTATACTACTAACATTGGCTGATGTATTCAAGATGCTAGGGCATTCTGCAGTTTCAATGATGTTTGTTGACCAAGATACGGGAGTTGTCAACAGAAAATTTGTTGCTGCACGTACTAGATATTAGTTTATTTATTTATTTAACAAAATAAAAAAGCAACAAACTATAAAAGACAGATATGACTACATAAGTAAAGCATTTTTTATATTATAGGCAAACAACAAAAAAGATCGACATTATTTTCTATCTTACTGTACTTGGAAACAATTTGATATAACGCTGATGCTACTAGGATGTTACTACGTGCTGCGGGTAAACTATAAAAACATTATTACTTCTAGATAATAGTCGCGGTACTTTGATATCAATATTACTTAAAACACCTGGACAGTCCAAAATGTTATGTATAACTTTATACAAAAACATTACTTGAAAAACAGATCTTCTTTTAGCAAGTACATGAATATTGAAAAGCTCAAGTAATAGATCATGCGGAAAACGCTGAGGGGGATATGTACCATCCAATAAGTACACAGCTGATTTCATAAACCTACGCTGTACTCCTTCCAAAGTTGCAATTTGATTAGCATAAATTAGGTTCCAGACTATTGATGCCTATTCCAATTTAGAACGAATAAAGGTAGTGTAGAGCAATCGTAGTGTAGAAATACTGATAAAGCTCTTGGAATTCTTTATTATGAACCCCATATTCTTGAAAGCAGATGACGCAATTATGTCTATTTGTTTTGTCAAATGTAACTCCAAGATCTTTTATGTAATCGGGTGTATGCAATATTATATTATACAATTTACAATCGAATAGTACAGAATTTTTTTTTTTTTGGTGAATGTAATGATGATTACGTTTACCGTTAAAGTATTATTTAGACACCACAAACTAATGACATTAAGCGCATTCTGTAACATATAGCAGTCGGCAATGGTGTTTATTTCGCAAAATAGCTTAAGGTCATCTGCATACATTAAATGGTGTACTTGTAGATCAACCATGATGTCGTTTACAAAAAGAACAAAGAGTAAGGGTCCGAGTATAGATCCTTGAGGCACACCAGATATTTGATGAAACTTGTGCGATTTAAAGCCACGATGCTGAACAAACTGATACCTATTTT